CCGGAGCCCAGCAGGCGAGGCTGCGGTGGCCGAGAGCGGCCGCTGCACTCCAGTCTGGGTGACAGAGTGAGACTCCAACTCAAAAAATAAAAAATAAAAAGTATTTTCTGCATTGTGTGTTTCCTTACTGGGAATGACAGGAAGCAATTTCGGATGCTCTCTGATGAGAGTGGGCCATTATGAAAATCTTTACTTCCTCCTCCTCCTTGAGCTGGTCACTAAAACAGCCTCTGTCAAGTCCAGACATTCCTTGTGTCCAAGGCTTTTGGGTGAGAAAAGCCCGATGCTATGCTATTTCTTCTCAGGGACTCCAGACTCTGGTCAGACTTGAGGTCAGTCATCCATCCCTGCCATGATGGTGGAGAGCAGAGCAGAGAGAAAAATTTGAAAAGCACTATAAGAAAAATGGCTCATCATGTATAGGGAACAATGCAATTAGCAACTGACTTCTCGTAAGCAATAATCGTTGACGGAAGGCAGTAGAATGACATTCAAGGTGCTGAATGTCATTCTACTGCAGTTTCCACCAAAACTGCAGAAATAAAGGCACAATAAAGATATTCCCAGTTCAACAAAGATCAAGAGAATTCATTTCTAGCAGACTTGCCATAGAGAAAATATTAAAAGATGTCTTTCAGGGTAAACGGGAGTAACCTTAGAGGTAAAAGGGAATAACATGAGTCTGCAGAAAGAAAGGAAGAGCACGGCCGGGCTCGGTGGCTCAGCCTGTCATCCCAGTACTTTGGGAGGCCGAGGCGAGTGGATGGCCTGAGCCCGCGAATTCGAGACCCGCCTAAGCAACTTGGCGAGACCTCGTCTCTACAATTAAAAAAAATAAAAATCAGCCAGGCATGGTAGCACCCACCTGTAGTTCCGGCTACTTGGAAGGCTGAGGCGGAAGGACTGCTGGAGCCCAGCAGGTCGACACTGGGGTGGCCGTGAGGGTGCCACTGCACTCCATCCTGGGTGACAGAGTGAGACTCCAACTCAAAAAAAAAAAAAAGAAGAGTACTAAATACTAAAAAAGGTATCTGTGGGTAAATATAAAAGACTGTATAGACATGTTTCCTCTCCTAATTTTATTAAAAGACATGAGATTATATAAAGCATTCATTATAACACTATATTGTTAGGCTTATAGCACATACAGAGATACATGAAAATAACACAAAGAAGAAGAGAGGAAACAAAGTTATGTTGGAGCGATAAGTCTATGTTTTATTGGAATTAAGTCAGTATTACTTGAAATAGATGGTGATAAATTAAAATGTTGGTTGTAATCTGCAGAAAGCCACTAAAAAAACCAAAACTCAAAAAATCCAATTCAGCAATAGAGTAATCGAAATGGTCCACAAAAAAGAAATAATAATTCTTATTTAGCACAACAGCAGTAAAGAGAGAGCAGATTTTAAAAATAAGACATAGAAAGCAAAATGGCAATCCTAAATCCAGTCTTACTGATAATTATCTTATATATGAATGAACTAAACACTATAATCAAAAAGCAGTGATTGTCAGACTGGATTAAAAAGTGAGATCCAATTTATACTGTCTAACTTTTGTGGAGTTTTTTGAATCAAAGTCTCACTCTGTCACCCAGACTGGAGCGCAGTGGCTCACTACAGCCTCAAACTCCTGGGCTCAAGCAATCCTCCCTCCTCAGCCTTCCAGGTACCTGGGACTACAGGTACATGCCACCACGCCTTACTTATTTTTTTTGTAGAGACAAAGTCTCACTCTGTTGCCCTGGTTGGTCCTGAACTCTAGAGCTCAAGTAATCTTCCCGCCTCAGCCTCCCAAAGTGCTGGAATTACAGGCATGAGCTACAATGCCTGTTCCAATTATACTATCTATAAGAGATACTTCACACAAAAAACATATATAAGTTGGAAGTAAAATGATGAAAAAGGATGTACCATGCAAATACTACCAATAAGAGAGCCGGATATGCTATATCAATATCCAACAAAATAGAATTTAAGACAAGAAATAGGCCAGGCACGATGGCTCAGCCTGTAATCCCAGCACTTTGGGTGCTGAGGTGAGAGGACTGCCTGAGCCCGCGGGTTCGAGACCAGCCTGGGCAACTTGGTGAGCCCTCGTCTCTACAATAAATCACAAAAACTAGCCGAACGTGGTGGTGTGCGTCTGTAGTTCCAACTACCTGGAAGACAGAGGCAGAAGGATCGCCTAAGTCCAGCAGGTGGAGGCTGAGGTGGCCGTGAGCGTGTCGCTGCACTCCAGCCTGGGCAACAAGAGTGAGACTCCAACTCAAAAAAAAAAAAAAAGACAAGAATTATTACTAGAGACAAGGAGGAACATTTTATGATACTAAAAGTTTAATACATTCGGAATATATGAAAATTATAAATGCAATAGTATCTAACAGCAGAACCTCAAAGTTGTAAAGAAAAAGTTGATATAATTAAAAGAAGTAATAGATAACAATTATAGTTAGAGGGTTCGTTGCCTCACTTTTGATAACTGATAGAACAACGAGAGAGAAAATCAGCAAGGAGACAGATGGAAGATCTGAATAACAGTCTCAACCAACTTGACCTTTATGGAACACTCTACCCCAAAGTAATAAGTATACATTGTTTTTCAAAATCACATGGAACATTCCCCAGGTTAGACCATATACTAAGGTATAAAACTAATTTCAGTATACTCAGAAGAATTTAAATCACTCAGAGTATGTTCTCCAGTCACAAAGGAATTAAATTAGAAATCAAAAATAAAAACAAATTTTGGGAATCCTTAAATTTTAGAAACTAACACATCTAAATAACACATGGGTTGAAGACGAAAATTCACAATGGAAATTTTAAATGTTTTGAAATGAATAAAACAAATATACAACACATCAAAATTAACATGTTGGAACTAAAGCAGAACTTAGAAAAGTAGCATGTTCTAAAATCAATAATTTAGTCTTCCATGCTAAGAAGTGAGAGACAGAAAGAGACAAATTAAATCCAAAAGGAGAGAAATAGAGATTAAGGTGGAAACCAATTGACTAGCAAACAAGAGAAACAGAAAATAAAGGAATGAAAATTTGCTTCTTAGAAAAGATTTTAAACATTGATAAACTTAGCTAAACTGAAAAAGAAGACACAAATTAACAAAATCAGGAATCTAAGAGTGGAAATAACTGCTGACCCTACAGATTAAAGGAATAATGAGTGAATATTGTAAACAACTTTATGCCAACGAATTACACAACTTAGATGAACTGGAAAAAATTCCTAGAAAAAAGAAATTGCCAAAACTTAAGAGGAAACCGAAAATCCCGAATAGACCTATAATAAGCAAAGAAACTGAAATGATAGTTTAAATAGTTTTCTTCCCAGGAAGAAAAGCCCAGCCCCAGATAACTTCACTGGTTAGTTCTACATAATATTTAAGGAAGACAAAAAAAATACCAGTTTTACAATAGAGAAAGAGGGAAGACTTCCCAGCTCATTCTATAGGGTTAGTATTGCTTTAACAAAGTCAGACAAAGATACCATTTAAAAAAAAAAGACCAATATTTTTATATTGCAATAATTCTTAACAAAATATTTGCAAATCAAATCCAGCAGCATTGGATCAATGAAAAGAGATTGAGCACTATGATCAAGTGGGATTTATCCCAGAAGTGCAAGGTGGATTTAATATTTATGAATCAATAATTACCAGCTGCTAATAGAATAAAGGACAAAGCCGGGCTCGGTGGCTCAGCCTGTCATCCCGCACCTTTGGGAGGCTGAGGTGAGTGGATGGCCTGAGCCCACAGGTTCGAGATCCGCCTGGGCAGCGAGACCTCATCTCTACAATAAATCAAAAAACCAACCGGGCGTGGTAGGGCATGTCTGTAATTCCGGCTACTCGGAAGGCTGAGGTGGAAGGATCGCCGGAGCCCAGCGGGTCGAGGCTGCAGCGGCTGGGAGCGGCCACTGCACTCCAGTCTGGGCGACTGAGTGAGACTCCACCTCAAAAAAAAAAAAAAAAAAAAAATAAAGGACAAAAACCTCATGATCGGCTGAACGTGAGTTCTACCATCTGGCTCTCCTCTGCTGCCGCCACCATGAGCTTCACCAATCGCTCCACCACCTACTCCACCAACTAACTACCAGTCCCTGGGCTCCATCCAGCCACCCAGCCTTCAGCCCACCAGCAGCGCGTCTATGCAGGCACCAGCAGCGCAGGCTCCTGGATCTCTGTGTCCCACTCCACCAGTTTCTGGGGTGGCTGGGAGTTTAGGGGGCATCCAGAGCAAGAAGAAGACCATGCAAAAGCTGAACGACCGCCTGGCCTCCTTCCTGGAGAGGGTGAGGAGTCTGGAGGCTGAGAACCAGAGACTGGAGAGCAAAATCTGGGAACACTGGGAGAAGGGACCCCAGGTGGGGACATGACTTCAAGACCATCGAGGACACAAGAGCTCATATCTTTGCAACTGCTGTGGACAATGTCCGTGCTGTTCTGCGGATTGGCAATGTCCACCTTGCTGCTGATGACTTTAGAGTCAAGTATGAGACAGAGCTGGC